ATGTATATAACATTTTTTGTAGAACTTTTTAAGAGCTTCATTTTCTATTAAAAACTTTTTCCTCTAAAATCAATATTTTCGGAGATACGAAACAAAAACTGTCGAAAGGGGGTTCGCTGGAGGCAAACGAGGTTCGCTAAAAATTCTTTTCGGCGCTTTCTTCTCTAATCAAAGGTGAGCTTTTGTTAAAATGTCAGCACGATCGTTTTGAGTAAGGAAAAAATTGATTGGACCCGTCGTATTCACTTTGAAGCCGTCCCTGGCGACACGTCACACCTTATCACCTGTTACCTGCAGATCTGTTCGCGTATCAGACACGTTGCAGATACGTACGCTGAAATCTCACGGTATCTCGTGATGCGTCGTTATCAGCGAAAAATCGTGGCGTTCGAGTCGCACAGACGCGTGCAAAACCGATCGCAAACGACAAGGGGCCACCGTGTGAAGGAGAGAGGAAGAAGAAAAACAAAAGCGTGGCGAAGGATAACGCTGAAAGGAGATGAAGATAATGTAAGGGAGCCGGAAACGAAGAGAGGACAATAGACTGTCGAATCGACGCGTCAAGTCAACGGTCTTTTGTCTGCGTTTCACGGTGTCCACGAACGTGCCACGACGATCACAAAGAATCGAAATTACGGAAAACAGATCGCTTAAACGTTTCAGAAAATCATTCAAGGAACCCGTAACGATCGATGATCCATTGTGAAACTGAGTGATAATAACGAAACAATCTTCGACCACCATTTCGTATTGTAAGTATTCAGCGATTTCATACTCTGGAAAATTTTTCATTTTGCGATTCTTTTTGGACGTGACCAAGGTTAGCTTTAGATTTGATATTCAAATATTCAAGATTTTATGGATTTTTAATAAGTGTTTGTGTACATTTTTGGTATCAAAATATATCGTTTGTAAAATTGAACTTTCAGTATAGCATATTTATATAAAATTCAAGCTTATAATCGTGAGATTCATTGCGTAGTTTTCCGAAATTATAATAGAATTCAGGGAAACACAGATTACTATCTAATCAACGATTTCCTTACGGTGTTTTATCTTTCGAGCTTATCGTTTGATTTAAAAATAGAATTTTTTGTGATCTAGTCGTTTAATCTAGCTTCTAAACATCGCCAAGGATTGTTCAATACACACGTAGCAATTATGTTCCCTAAATAAGAATCTAATGGTTTATTCAGTTTTACCATTTCAATAAATCTGTTACTTTTCGTGATTATGTACGTTTCGTTTATCATTGGGTTAATATTTGAGTTTGATAAAAATAACATTTCCGTCTTCTTACTATAGTTTCATTAAAACATCAATACTTTTCTAACGTTACAAGAAACGCGTTGCTATAGTTACAAAAACGAAAAATGTTTGTCAAGTTTGGGAATATTGTACAGGTAAGATGACGTCTCAATGTTTGCCTTGTTTTTATTCTCCCAACATGTTTTTTCACTCAAGTTTTTATCGCGGTGCTTACGAAAACATACGCGAATTTTAATAAAATTTTAATATATTATACAATATAATTTGATAGCTGCGAGAAGGGTGGAGGACAGAATTAAAATTAAACTTCGGTAAATTGTGGTGGTTCATAAAGACATTTAATTAAGTCAAGCATATTTATTAGCAATAATTTACATTTGGGTTGACATTTAATTTGCCATTAAATTTCTTATAGAATTAAATTGTAATCATTAGTTGAATGATTCTGTAATTAAAATTTCGTTCCTAATCGAAATTATTAAATTTAAGATTAATGTTGAATAATAATTAAACCAATTTAGTTGCATTTAATCAAAGATTGAACATCGTTTTTTGATCGAATCTTGTAAAGTAATAAAATTAATTTTAATCCTCAACTAATTTTACCAAATTGGTATTAAAATTTAATTCACAATAGAGCCAAGTAAATTAGTTAAAATATTCAATTTTATTTAATTTTATATTTTAAATTTATTTCATTGATTCATAATTTTTTTCAAACTTTCCAATCATTCGGTTAACAATTTCAATTTCATTCCCACCATAAAAATATTAACTTATGACAATTTAAAATTATTAATTTCGAAATCTGTGACATATAATTTACTCCACAAAATGTCTCCTCATATTAAAAATACACTAGCTATTTTTAGGTGTTTATATTTTATTTATTATCATATATTAGCATAGATTAAAATCAATTAGGTACCTCGTTCTCAGTAATTTCGTACACAGATATATTGAAACCACTGATTTCATCAGAATATAAAATTTGGTCATTTTTATTCTCAATGCCAGTTCTTCGCACGTTCCAGTCGAATTTCATCGTGTCAATATCTACTACCAAAAAACAGAGCTGACCGAAATAGCGAAACCAAGCTCGGATATTAACCGAACGTGAAATATTTCGAGCGCGTTTTAATGTTTTTTTACTATTTGTATGGGATTTTTGCTTTGTCAGCTGTCGTAAAAAACGAAATCTGACACTAAGAGAAAGCTTTCAACGAGGTTAAAATTGTAATCGATTGCTTTTATCTTATGCCGAAATCTGTGAATTTTATCATTTTTTTTTTCATTTACCTTTCAAATTTTGACAATCAATACCGCTCTTATCGTGAATATCTCTTCCAAACAAATCACAATGTTTTATTCATTCAAATTTTATAATTACTCTCGAAAGAGGCAATAAAAATCGCATTTACACTTCTAATTAGAAGCTATGAAAACCAATATATTCGAGTCAAATCCTACACAAAAATGCTTTCAAAACTCCTCTATTTTTCCGCAGACTGACCGCGTAAAACGTGTTCTGTTTCAACAATTTTTAATCATTATATTCCTTTGCTATAATATTTTGTACCGTAACAAATGACCGATTTCGGAACATAGAAAGTTTGATATGTGACATGAATCTTTTTACCGGAAAATACCTCTTATGTATCAATTTTCAAACTTTAAAACACAAATACATTTTTTATTTGGCATATTCTGGGAATATTTATATGAGAAATACCACTGGTCCGAATATGAATATTCATCTAGTCTTCTAAACGTTATATTGATTTTTTCGTATGAACATCAATTGATAATTTAGAGATGTTATTCTTCACTGCAATTTTTGATCAATTTTATAACGTAGTATATCTAATAATTTAATTCACTATACATTGAACAGTAAAAAATTATTTAGGCAATTACTATATTGAACAGTACAATAGTGAAGTATAATAATTTATTTTATATCTTAAAATATTTAATAATTTAATTATACTAATAACATTATAGTTTTGCAAATAATTAAGTATAATGGTCATTTGCAAAAAATACTAATGAAAAATATAATAATAGAAACTAATTATAATTATTCAAACTTGTTGATCAAATCTTCAAAAAACAGTACTGTTCACAAAATCAATACAAATGTACTTTTGATACACACTAAAATTTCGTTAGTTACAAATCTAACCAAATCTGTTCAATGTAAAAGAAATTCGATCATTTGCCAAGTTGGAAATCTTTCTAGGTAAGTCATTAGGAAACCTTCTTATCCACCGATCGACTGTTGTGACGCGTTTGCATAAAGTTCGCACTGTGCGAAATTGTTAACGGTAGCGATAAATTGGCACTCGCAGCTTATCTCTCGTTATCTGTTATTTATCCTTTTTCAGAGCGCGTCGCTTTGTAGCGCTGATAAATTGTTTCAACTGGGTCATACGTTCACCATGGTGAGCTTTTTCTTTTTTCCCTCCCTCTTTACCTTTCTTTTTCGTCTTTCATTTCATTCCCGGCATTTGTGCCGTGTTAGTTGTCCAGAATTTATCAAATTCTCCCCGGTGTTTAGCCCCGGGAAAACAGAAAGACGAGACCTACGCCTTTAATGAATTTTTTGTGCGATTAAACTCCCATTATGATATACGTTTACGGGTATATGTACAGGGTCGTATATTCCGCTAAGATTAATCTCCTGCGGCAGTAATTACGCGAATGTTGCACGCATACAATAAATTCGAGGCGATCGTTACTTTGATTTAGTGGTGGTCTGTTCTTACAAGTAGCAAATTGACTCGACTTTCAAGGTTATAACTTTAATACTTCCGTTTAATACCAATGGCGTAAGCAGGTGGTAAATCAACCATGAATCTATCAAAATTCATCGGCAAAAAATTTTTAATTCTGAGGATTTTTATATTTAAAAATTTGCAATTAAAAAATTTTATTCCATCTCTAATAAATATTTGCAAACTTCCGCATTGTTAGTGTTACGATAATCGAATAACGAAAAATTCGTACCGTTCTCCGTTCGATATTTCAGTCGCGTTCGATCTCCTTTAAAGGAGCCCATCGCTCCTCGAATCTTACGGTTCAACATACGCGTCAAGCTATTTAATTCAATTGTTCTGATTCAACTATGATACAAAAGGTAGAAATTGCACTGCATATCTAAGAAAGGGTATTGCAAAACTTTCCCGCCTATTTTTGAACTACATGAGTCAAAATATTGCAAAATTTAACAGCATCACTGTTGCATATATAAGATCTCTAAATTGAAGGGCAATATCAAACTTTAACTCACTACCAAATGTTGCAAGCAAGAAAATGTATCCCTTACGTAACGTAGAATGAACGATTATACTGTATTGAAGATTATCTGATTGACCGATTATCAGATTATTTCTTTAACGATTAATACAGCCTTGTGTACTTACACAATTCGATCGTACCGCATTAGACACTTTACTAGATCCACGATTGTCACGGTCTCTCCTTCACCCAATAGTGACATTAGAACCACGTGACCGTAGGATCTATGACGCATGCGCAGACAGTCGAGCGGGTGGTTTGCTGCCAAGCTCGCACGTGCGTTCAAATGAATCTAGTTGCGTTCCAGTAGTTTCCAGTATCTACGAAGGATTTACAGTGGCGTCGTCGATCCGTTACGTCTGTCGCGACAAGAGAATTGACGAAAAAAGAAGTCGGAAGTTACGTGAATCACGGTGAGTGATGGCGAACGTGTCTAACGTAAGGTTTGATGGTCGAATCAAGAAATACAGAAGCCCATAACCACACGGCGAATCGCTAGCGACCCACGTGCGATGAGAATATTTGTTTTGCATACATGACACGGTTCGCCGTGCAACGATTTATAACGTGTGTCGCGTAGATGTCACGTAATCGCAAAAATTCACGCGACATTGAATATTCTTATTGGTTGTGTTGCAACTGACGCGAAACGAGATACCAGCTGTTAGACTGTCATTTCTTTTTTCCGCTATCGTTTGATGGCGTAGACAGTGCCTTTGTTACAATTTCTTGTTCCGTGTGTTATTAATATTAATAGTTTTGCGCGACGTGTTTCTGTGTTACTTTATCTTCGATAAATATTATATCACCTTGCATTTGCCACGGTTTTTTTTATTTGGACACACGTTCGAAAGAACATTGAATTGCGGTGTTCGATCGTAGACGCATTTTTGTTCGGTGAATAATTTCTAATATAAACGTAGAAGGTAAGACGGTCAATGTTATTATTAGACGTGTCTTCAGCTATTAGTCTTTTGTTGCGAACTGTATTTGTGTACTGTATTGAATTTCAAGGTCGAACTTACCGATACACGTACGATCTTACTCTACGAATGTACCAAAATATCTCGCCCTTGTGCAAAAACTGAGTGCTTAATCCAAACATTCGCTAGAGGAAAATTTAACTTTGAAATATAATTTTCAAGAGAATTTATACGTTACACGTTTAGTTACAAATATTGTATGTATATTGTACATTAAACATTTGTATTAATTTAGTATACCATGTGTACACAATATTCAAAATATATTATTAAATTCTGAAATTTTCAAATTTATAATTTTGGGGATTTGAATATTTAAACATCTATACACATAATTTAATATATAGTGAGTTAGAAAAGTATTGATATTTGTTTTATAAACAAATTGCATTACATTCTGTTATGTATTACACAATATTATACTGCTTATTAAAATTCTACTAATTAGATATTATAATAATATTTTAAAGTTGTTTTTGCCGTTATTAAATCTTTTATATATTATTTGCAGATATTAGCATAGAAAAATGGTGTCATCAACAGTAGTGGAAAATGAACAGTCTAACCCACCAAGGAAATCTTGTGCAGTGGGTATTGGCCCAGGCAATTATCAGTTAGTTGGCTGGGACATGGATAGTACTGGCAAAAGAGTTATAGATGAAATATGCCAAATAGCTGGTTACACACCTAGTTCCTCATATTCTCAGTATGTAATGCCATATAATAATCTCAACCCGCCAGCCATGAAAAGGCATAATATGAAAGTAGTAACTATTGGCAAATATAGAGCACTTAAAGATAATAAAACTAATAAGGTATTAATAAAGTTTTAGTAATTAAATATTGTTTGTATTGTATTTAGTTATGTTGCATTCAATGACCTTTTACAGGTAATCAAGACTAAGAGTGAAGTCTTTGCACTAACAGATTTTTTAACATGGCTACAATCTATTAAAGGAGATGCAACGGATGGAATAATACTGGTTTATCATGAGCCACGCAAAGTTATTCCTGCCATGCTAATAGAATCCTTAAAGAAATACAATTTGTTGGATGGATTTAAACAAATTGTAAAAGGTTTTGCGAATGGATTTAATGTTGCTGAAGTGAAATGTACAAACTCGGTTCATTCATTTTCTCTTAGAACATTGTCTAAAACTTTACTTAATCAAGTAAGGCAATTTTTTATTTGCATAATGCAATTCCTTTATTATGTCTTGTAATAAACTTTAAAATATTTACTTGAAGAAAGTAAGACACTATTTTAAATACATACAATAAATATATCATAGTAATTTTTATAATTTAAGGAAAAACAATTAGATAATGCAAAAAACAGAGCATACCTGGCGTTACAAATAGTACAACACTTAAGTTCACTTGAAGATACCAAAGGAAGCGAAGTAAATGGTAGTGGAGACAGTGACAGTGCCATGAAGAAAACTGTAGAATTTATTAGGGAATTTGTTCAACCAGTAGAAATGGAAGAACAAGAATATGCAGGTGTGTAAAGTAATTATATTGAATTACATTCAAGTATGTGACATGTGTTGCCCTTGTTTCAGAGTTGAAAATAGTATTCGAACGTCAAAATAGTTTAAGACCTATTTTCGGAATGTACCGTGAGAATCGTCGAGAACGCCAACATGCTAGTCCTTTACGACGGTTACTCGCCGAAGCAGGAATAGAATATTCTCTATTACAAGTTTGTATAATATAAATATTTATAATATTGTTGGTCATGCAAATCTGCTGAATCGATTAATAATTGATAATGTTTCTTTATGATACAGGAAGCGTGGAATAACGAGAATAAAGAAGGTTTGGAAAAGTTAATTAAGAAGAAATTAACAACGGTTGATGAGAAGCAAATAGAAGAGCTACTAATTATTCTTGAGGGCTATTTTGATCCCGAGAAGAAATCTAAGTTAAGAATATCAGGAGAGAAGAATGAATTAAAAACGGAGAATTCTCAAATCAACGCCGATAAGGAAAATAATAATAAATGTGATTCTGGTGCTGAAAGTCCAGATACTACCACCACTAATTCACCGCTTAAAATAAAGACCGAACCTTCGGAGAACATTACAGTTTAAGCAAATGAACAAGAACTGAGCGATTTAGTTCTCTACTTCAGTGCCTTTTAACTAATTATAAGGTCAATATTGTTATCAGTAACTAAGTTTACGATCATTCCGTTCATTCTTATCATAATATTATTCGAGTGTGATAAAACATGAGTGTTATTTGTTGCAGTATTGTATTTAAATTTTTATTTTCATTATAACAAACTAGATATTGTATCCTTGGAAGATACAAAACTAGACTAGAATTAGTTAACGAACATATGTACAAATAACACGTTATTATTTTTTGTTATTTAACGATAAAGAAATATTTAATGATTCGTTTTTGTTTAACGATTAATTTTATGATCGTTGATTTTTTATTTAATCAAATTAACGTTGTAACAAGTGATTGTTTAGAGACTGGTCGACATGAAAATAATATATTCAGACGTCAAATAAGTTTCGTTTTTCATTATATTTGAGATTAAGAAAATGACTTATTTTCGTTTCTTTTTTTTATTTGCTACTAGCAAGCTTGCGTACAAAGTACATAGTGATATTAATTTAAAAACAAATTATATATATACTTATATTTTTGTACCGCAAGATTTCTTAAAACGGGTAATGCACATGCTGCATTTACATGTTAAATTTCATTGTATTAAACAATTCAAATAAAGACTTTGAATCGCGCCAATTTCTTGCCTCTGATTTTCAATCCTTCCAGTACTGTTATGTATAATATATGTGATTACGAAACCTAATTTGCAAGCGATTAAAACGTTTCATTATCATGTAACACCATTTTACATTCTCGAGCGATAACGGCACGTTTGAGGGCAAAAGCAACAGAAAACTGCAGCGTGACTTCTTTCTGTTATAAGGCGTATCTGAAATCTGTGCAGCCATCGAGATAAAGCCAGAAATGAATTAAATATATGAATGCCTATGCAGTGGACCGTTGTATCCGCTTATGGACTTCCATAAAGCATGCCGGACGCCTCGGAGCGTAAACAGGCTGGTGCACCGCGTAGAAGTTTAAAGAAGTATTTACTTGCTAAGAAGAAGAGTATCGACGTAGCTCTCGTTGGAACTAGGCAAGGTTTAAGTATACGACGAAACTTGGTTTAAAGCGGCTTGTCGCGTTTACCGGAAATTTGCGACTATCTAACAGAGCGTGAACGACGATTTATTTCCTATGATTCTCCTTCTATCTCTTGATTGATAACACTGTATACTGGAAGTTATGGGATCTATTTTAGACACCAGAATTAAATACATCAAACTAGGATTTTTTGTTGAGAAATTTTGAACATGCAAACATTGTAAAATTCTTACCAAAATTACTGTTAATATTTTTGTTATTTTATTGTACTATTAATAGCTTTTAATTGTATTGTTATTAAAATATTATTGTTAATGAGAACTTTAGTAAATATTAGTTTTAACGGATCTTACTTTCACAAAAGTTTGTTGTTTTATACATAACTTTTAATATCTAATTAGATAACTAAGTTTGTAATTTTCTAATAGTGTTGATGATGAATTCCTATGGAATTTCAATCATCACCCACATGTGGATGATGCAGCAGTTGATACTAATTTTTCCTGACCTATAACAATATGATTCTACTACGTCATTGAGAATATTAAACAAAACTATAAGGAATTTTTACTTGTACATGTAACTGAAGTAAAGGAGACAATGTGAAGAAATTGCCAATTATTTTTAGTAAAATGTGTACATATTGAGTCATCAGACTTATCAATTTTTATTTTACGTACAACGAACTATGGCACAATATTCGCACTGCATCACGATTACTGTAAGAGGCAGCGAAAAGGAAATTGCTGTTACTGAGAGGCTCGTTAATCGAGGGACCATGGCCGCAAGAAAATATAGCGATAATTAATAATCCAATGCTAGAGGTCGCTATATCTTTTGTTATAGAGCACAGTTGGGATTCTAATAGCGGAAATAAATTCGATCACACGATATAATAAATATCAGTTGCGCGTAGAACACCGCTGGTATTTTTGATGTATTATCGTGGTACCATATGAACTTTGCAATATATGTTCAATTAGAATAAATATATCAGTTTTGAAATTGAAAATGTGAAATATACTTTGTTGCGTGTTAAATGATTTTGAAATGTAGGTTCAACATTGTGGTGATCTGAAATATCAAAATGGCAACTATTGCATCTTTTAAGCTTAAAGTATTAACTGACATTAAATAATTTAATATTAGTTATTAAATTTTTTAGTATTACAATATTTTTTTTGTTCTAAATAATGAAGATATTATTGACTATTTATTATTTTTTTGTGACTAATTTAAAATAGATTGCGTTTTTAATTTAATAAAGATTCCTCCACCAATTTAATTTAATTTTTTAACTACCATTTTTCATGAATATAAAAGAAGAAATTAAAGAATATAAGAATAATATATGAACACCCCTATGAACATTCAATTAAAGAAGAGTAACTCCATGTAATAATTTTCGTTGAAGGAACTTCTAAGAAGTGTTCTCGATTCCTAAACTTTTTTTGCAGTTTTATTACTGTAATTCTCCATTTTTCACGAGTCTCGGATTTCTGCGTCGACGGAATTTCCGACTTCCGAATACCTATCGTTCAAACCGTCTGAAGTTCAACATTCACGGACAGATAAATAGACAAGATTAGATACTGTTCACTGTAATTGCATATAGAATAACATAAAAATCATTTAGATCCTAATCTAAATTTAATCGTTCTGATTACATTTAACGATTACACTTCCTACTGATATTATTGGATAGGTATACTGAGCACTGGGTTCATTTGAACGGGACATATTTTTAGTGAAGTGACTTTCTTCTAGTTTTTGAGAATAGGAAGTAAAATGAATTTTTAAGGGTATTGAATTTTTAATTTTGGCTGGGATCAATCCTTAAATTTTTAAGTTAATAAACTACTACATTTTTAAATCTTTAAATACTTAAGTTTGTAGGTTTCCAAATCCATAATTTCTTAATTTCCAAATCTCTAAATTCTCAAATTCTTTAATTTACAGAATCTTTGTTTTTCCAAATTTTCCAGTACTTAAATTTTTACATTTGCGAAAACCTTTTCTAAATCCCCAAATTCCCAAATTTAAATGTGCAAAAACCTTAATTTTGCAAATCCCTAAATTCTCAAATTTAAATTTGCGAAAACCTTAATTTTCCAAATCCCCAAATTCTCAAATTTAAATTTGCAAAAACCTTATTTTCCAAATCCCCAAATACTCAAATTTAAATTCGCAAAAACCTTAATTTTCCAAATCCCCAACTTCTCAAATTTAAATCTGCAAAAATCTTATTTTTCCAAATCCCCAAATTCTCAAATTTAAATCTGCAAAAACCTTATTTTCCCAAATTCCCAAATTCTCAAATTTAAATTTGCAAAAACCTTATTTTTCCAAATCCCCAAATTCTCAAATTTAAATTTGCAAAAACCTTATTTTCCCAAATCCCCAAATTCTCAAATTTAAATCTGCAAAAACCTTAATTTTCCAAATCTCCAAATTCTCAAATTGAAATCTGCAAAAACCTTATTTTTCCAAATCCCTAAATTCTCAAATTTAAATGTGCAAAAACCTTATTTTTCCAAATCCCCAAATTCTCAAATTTAAATCTGCAAAAACCTTAATTTTCCAAATCTCCAAATTCTCAAATTGAAATCTGCAAAAACCTTATTTTTCCAAATCCCCAAATTCTCAAATTTAAATTTGCAAAAACCTTAATTTTCCAAATCCCTAAATTCTCAAATTGAAATCTGCAAAAACCTTAATTTTCTAAATCCCCACCTTCTCAAGTTTAAATTTGCAAAAGCCTTATTTTCCCAAATCCCCAAATTCTCAAATTGAAACTTGCAAAAACCTTATTTTTCCAAATCCCTAAATTCTCAAATTGAAATTTGCAAAAACCTTATTTTCCCAAATCCCCAAATTCTCAAATTCAAATTTGCAAAAACCTTAATTATCTAAATTCCCAAATCTGAAAACCCTAATTTCCCCAAAAGTCATAAATACAAAATAAAAAAAAAAATGCATTTGAAAGATTTTACAGTTTCAGTTTTCACACCGACACTTTCGTAATATACGCATGTAACGGATACATTTGAAGCGTAACAAACGATAACGGTAAACGATTATTGCTAAAAACCTCTGTAAGCAAGCTCAGCTAACAGACATAATTACAAAGATCGCGTGTAGCCATAATTGCAACGAATTTCTTGTTAAAGGAACAAACTGTGCATTATAACAAGAGCAAAATGACTTGATCTTCGTTCACACAATGAAGTAAGAAACATTTCCTTCTTTTTATATCTGTCTCTTGTATTTATGTAACTACATGTAGTTACTTATTTAACTATATGTAAAGTTAACTGAAAATATATATTGGTAATGTATTTAAATATTTTTTGTTTCAGTTAATAATTGTAGTTTGTAAAAATTGCATTGTAAAGCTTGTATTGAGTGGAGTACTCTACCATTTTACCTCCTACGCTACCATTTTGATTCATAAACATAAAAGTCTTCAAGTCTCAAAATTTTACATTTTCAAAATTGAAAATTCTGAAATTTTTTAATCTTAAAATCATAAAATTCAAATTTTGCAAAATTTTAATACTCCGAAATGGAAAAATTCAAACATTGCAAGATTTTAATACCTCAAAATTCTAAAGTTCAATCAATGAACAATTTTAATATCTCAAGGTCCAAAATTTCAGAATCTAACAGTTGTAAATTTTCAAAATTACTAAACCTTGAAATTCTAAAATTTCCACAAGTAACAAAATCTCTAAATTTTTTAATGTTGGAGTTCCATATCCAAAAAACCAAAATTCTACAACTTTAAAATAATAAAACCCTGAAATTCTAAAAACCTTCAGTAACAAAATCCTCAAATCTTAAAGTCTCAAAGTTCCAACCTTACAAAATTCTAAATTCTCAAAATCTTAAAACCTTGAAATTCTAAAATCCCCAAATAACAAAGTCCTAAACTCCCAAAGTCCCAAAGCTCAAAATTTCAACACTCCAAAGTCCCAACCTTGCAAAATTCCAAAATTCCAAGATTCTAAATCCTCAAAATTCCAAAACCTTGAAATACCAGAATCCCCCAAGTAATAATATCTTAAAACCCCAAAGTCCCAAAGCTCAAAAATTCAAAAATTTCAACACTCCAAAGTTCCAACCTAGTAAAATTCCAAAAATCCAAAATTCTAAATTCTCAAAATTCCAAAACCTTAAAATTCTAAACTCCCCAAGTAACAATATCCTAAACCCCCAAATTCCCAACCTTGCGAAATTCCGAAAATCCAAAATTCTAAATTTCCAAAATCCCAAAACCTTGAAACTCTAAACTCCCCAAGTAACAATATCCCAAACCCCCAAATTCCCAACCTTGCAAAATTCCAAAAATCCAAAATTCTAAATCCTCAAACTCCCAAAACCTTCAAATTCTAAAATCCCCAATCAACAAAATCCCAAAATCTCAAATTCCCAAATCTGCAAAACCTCGATCCCCCAAAATTTCACAATCCCAATCTCCAAACTCCCTAAAATCCCAAAACTGATACCCAAAAGCCGTATCAAGTACAACATTTAGAAGAAAGAAGGATCATGTGCGCTCACTAGGATCAGTGTAAACGTAACGGGAAAGC